GGAACTGAACCAGACACTCCAGGCTCTCCATCGCCACACTTCAGCAGACTAGCACACTACTGCCTCTGGACTAAAGTGACTGCTTAATTACTGAGAGACGTCATGGTATACTGTAAGGTATCACCCCCCTTATTCCCTTTCAAAAACAGCAGCTTCTTCTAGTCAGGTTGTAAGTATACACAATCTATAGTGTTGTTTGTATGTTGCCTGCTATTTTTGTTTGATTCAGATAAGTTATTGATTTAATAAATATTTTTAAGTAGGCCCTCTTTGTAAAAAAATGAAGGGGTTTAATTTTTTCTTTAAGATTTCTACTCAGGCAATAAGGGTGAGGAAATGCTTTAGACCCCCTACGTGAAGGCCTGAGGTTTAAAAATTCACCTTTATTTTTGTGTTGTTTTTATCCTTATTGTTTAAAATCCCAGCATTGCCTTCACAAGATATGACGGTAGTTTCCTTTAACTTACTGTAAATTGTCCACATAAGCCAATAAAAGGAAGAACATTAATTAAACTTAAACAGGACAAGGGTCAGGTAGTATTTCTTCAGGAGACTCATTTATCTGATACAGAACATGTCAAATTGAAATGTATTGCTTTTGATGAAGTGTTCTGTTCTTCTCGTAAAACAGGATGCAGAAGAGGTATTAGCCATTCCCATTCTGCCAACTGTTAATTCTGAGTGCTTGACAGAGATTAAAGACTAAGAAGGTAGATTTATCCTTGTTAGAGACAAAACAGAAGACTCTTTTGCCATGCTGATCTAAGAATTGCAAAAGGAAACTTTAACCATTAGAGAAACATGTAAATAGATCTATTGAAGACTTTCATATATTCAAAGTATGGAGGGATCTATACTCTACAGGAAGGGACTATATACATTTCTTAGCATCTCATAATTCATATGGCAGAAGCGATTACTTCATTATGTATAAACTAAACAGATCTAGATTGTGAAATTGGAACCTCAGATTTATCTGACCATGCACCAGACATTTTGACATTTACCTGACATTAGACCTAAATGAGGTAAAAAAGAATACCTTATGGAAGATGAACTGTAGTGCTCTGAATGGTAATGATGTTAAAGAGCATGAGATTCTACTATTTTCATAAAACAACACAGGAGATGTATCCCCAGCAATACTTGGGATACAGCTAAAGCAGTGCTTAGAAAGAATCTTATTTCCTTTTGCTCATATAAAAAGAAAAGACAAGTCAAATTGAGGGAGTTACAATCTGAACTAAAATGTACAGAAACATTAACAAAACACCTAGTCGCACGATAAATAACAATTATTGAAAATTAGGGCAGAAATAAATGGCAAATTTTGGAAGCAGAAACCAACTTAAAGTTCCTATAACAAAGTTACTATAAATCAGAAACCAAATCAATTAAAATACCAACAAGAAGATTATGTTAACAACAGGCAAAATCTATAATCCCTAAAATATGAAACCCAGTAACCAACCAAATGCATTTCAAATTAAAAGAAATACAAACAACCATTACTGGATAAAAAACATACATAATCTGAAACCCAAAATGAACAGGATATGTCCTTTTTATTATAATCACTTAATTTTCTTAAAAAAATAATAAACAATTAAGCCATGCAAAATATTTTTTCAGAACTTAACTCTAATAAAGTATCAGGGACTCATGACTTTCCAAGTGAATTTTATATGATATTAAAAAAATATTTAAAATAGTCTAGGCGGAGGATTAGCCTATGGGCCAATTGGAAATGTTTATATCTAATATTAGAGAGATTTTGATTTGCTGATAAATGTATTAATACAATTAAAATAATTTATTTAAATCCTATGGCAAATATTAAGGTTATCGAAAATATTCCTGATAGATTTTGCTTAAAAAAAGGTACAAGATAGGTATGTCCCCTGTCACCTCTCTTGTTCTCTCTATACATAAAATCCCTGGCAAAAATTAAAGGTATAAAAATCAAAGGACAAAAACATAAGACAGTACTGTATGCAGATGATGTCCTACTGTATTTGGATGATCTTAATTAATAATTTCCTCTGGTTGTGGGTCTCCTGTAGAAAGTTGGTAAGATATCATGAGTATGAATCAAATGTAGAAAAAGCAGAAGTCCTTTAACTCATAAAATAAAGATGACCTAGCTGGCTCGAGTCTGTTCCCTCTATCATGGGGATCTCCAGCAGAAGTTAATAAAATGAATGATTATTACTCCTCTTCTAGTAGATATCTCTACAGACCGGTTTAATGAAAGAGATTAATTGATTTTAAGATGCTTTTGGAATGGAAAAAAAATCCAAGAATTAAATGTAAAATGCTACAACTAAGAGGAAAGGTAGTTTAGCCTTGTTATGTCCAAAATCATATTACCAAGCAGTTGAACTTGGATATCCAATCTGCTGGTGGGATCAAAGTTATAGAGCAAATTGGAAGGAGATGGAGTCTTTGATTATAAATGAATTCCCAGTACAGACAGTTCTGGGGATAGATCATTGGCAGAGACTGTATATAAAACAGCTTTACCCTGGGTAACAATTGCAATAAAAAGTTGGATTTAAATAATAAAAGCTTATAACTTAGAGAAATATGTTAAATATTAAGGTGGACAGTTTACTATTCAGATTTCCCCTCTGGGAAATCTGATATACTTTTTAAGACTTGGACTGTTAGAAGAATTATAGCAATATGTACCCTGCTGAAAAAGAACCATCTGAAAAACATTGAAGATTTATCCCAAAAAAAAGACTCCTTCAGATACCTCCAAATTAGGCATTTCTTAATTAACTGTACCAAACCATCAAATACAGAGCAAGCCTATAAAGTGCTTGACAATGATATAGCAAACTAACCAGAGGATAATATCAAACTGTATAACATAGAATGTACAAAAAAAGATTTAACAGGCACAACTGGAAAAGAAAATCATGAAAACATTCTGCAGATCATGGTAAGAGCATATGCAGATTTTGTCTACAGTACACAAATTTGGATAAACGTATGTTAGAAAAACATGACTCATTTTGTTATCAGTCCTAAAATTCAAGCAAAAGAAAAAGGAAACACTTCACAATGTTGGAGGTTATGTGGAGAGCAAGTATCGTCTCATTTACACATTCTGGCCATGCCCGAAAATACAACAATATTGGAAATCCACACATTACTTAATAATCGAGTACATATGAATTCACCGTTATGTAATTGGGAAAATGTTACTTTAAAAGGAAGTAAAAAATATATACTAGGAATTATTTTAGCTGACAGTAAGAAAACAATCAGAAAAATATGTTTAATTAAAGAATCCACAGAGTGTAGAACAAATTTGTTGAAGCTGGAAGCTAGCTTGAAGAAACAGCTGGGTGAGGTCCTTGGGCCAATTAGATACTGACTACCAAACAGGTTAGGTGGGTATAATGACCTATTTTTAGTGCTTAAATTTTACTTTCGTTTGTAAAACAAATAGCTGAGAACACCTACTTCCAAAGGCAAGTTAGTATGGCATTTTTCATGAAAAATGACTAGGGCTGGGCAGTATGACCAAAATCATTATCACGATAAAAATGTTCATATCAGTCGATATCGATAATTATCACGATTAAATGTCAAATCATTATTTCTTTCAAGTTTAAAGGCAGATTTTTTCTCCTGCGTGAAAGTTGAAGAAACCAGACAGTTAATTCGTAAATTAAACAACTCTTTATTTTAAGAACACAACAAACACTTGCCAAACAGCAGAAGCATTAAACAAATCTGCTAGCTGCCCGGTCGGCAACACGCACGCAGTATTTTGTGCGCATGCGCATATCATGCGCAAAGCATAAACATATATATCGAACATTTATCAACCTTTTGTTAAAATTTTATCGAGGAAAATGATATCCCGATAATTATCGTTATCGAATTATCGCCCAGCTCTACTAATGACACTTTTCATAAACGTCACATATATTTCTTTGTATTGCCAAGTGTAATTTCAGAATCTAAATGTGAACATCTTCAGCCTTGAAAACAAAGACAGCACCAGTATTAGTATACGTTGCCTGAAACAGCACCTCTACTCCACCACCACAACAGCAAACACAGACTTTTACGTCCCCAATATGATGGAAATACACAAACAAAAAAAAAACACAAATTACACTATTCTACAACCCAATACCCTCTAAACCTGTCTCCGGAGAAAGGGGTGGCAAAGCCAAAGCAAAATCTTCCTCAAGATATCCATCTACTTTATGTAAACTAAGTTATAATGGAAAAAAAAACAGGGAAGCCACAACAATCCACAACCCTACACCACAGCCAAGAAAATAAATCCGACACAACTCGCATTTTTGCTGTTTCTTCTTCTTACACCTCTCTTCCACACACCCTCTCTGAACGTCTCATACCGGCATTCAAAACCGGACTACTCTCTTCAACCACTCCAGAGAGAGACCCAATTTAGGGACATGCCCACATCTAAAAATGGACCCCCGCAGTCTGTGTGGACCCTAATGCGCCAGTCTAGTGACAGGGACACTAGACTGTAAAAAGGTGCCGTCCTTTGGATGAGACGTAAAACCGAGGTCCTGCCTCTCTTTGGTCATTAGAAATCCTAGGGAGTTTCTCAAAAAGAGTAGGGGTTTTACCCCAGTGTCCAATCCAAATTTTCCACTGGCCTTTACCAATCATGGCCTCTTAATAATCCCTGTCTATGAATGGGCTTCATCACTCTCTTCTCCTATCCACTGATAGCTGATGTGTGGTGAGCATTCTGGCGCACTATGGCTGCCGTCGCATCATCCAGGTGGGGCTGCACATTGGTGGTGGTGGAGGGGAGTCCCCATTACCTGTAAAGTGCTTTGGAGTGTCATGAAAAGCACTTTATAAGTGTAAGGCATCAATAGTAATAAATGATAATAATCATCACATAGCACTAGTCACACAGCGTCCAGTAAAGTTAAACTATTTTATATTTTCTACAGTATACTCCATAAAAATCAGAGGCATGAAAAGGGCCCTACCTTTCTCTGGACAAAATCCATGATGTTCTTGAAGTCCAGGTCATCGTAGTAGTTCACCATCCCTTTTCGGATGTTTTTATTCATTAAGTCAACGGTCTACAGGGAAAAAGAAAAGAATGTGAATATCCATCTGTTAGGACTCACTTCCCAATACACTGCAATGTGCTTGTTGTGATTAGACAGGACTTCTGAAAATATTTTAAAAACACAAAAAACATCTTGTCAGCCAATAATGTCACTGCATGTCTGCATAGGAATATAATTCAGAACCTCTCAAAAGATAATTCATTGCTGAAAATTATCCTTCTTGAAAAAGAAATTTTATTGCCAATGAACCTTGAAAAACAGTTTAATGAAACACATTTTGTAGAAAAAGATCAGAATGCATATGCAATAGATGGTACCCAAATAAGTCTTTGATGTGTATTCACAAAGCTCAGCAATCGCACATTGTAGCTATATACTGGCAACAGCACTGCCTGGTGAAAGTTAACAATAAAAAGGGCAGAAGAGGCCTTTAAATTATTCCTGCTTTCACTGCTTCATCACCATTGTCAAGCCATTAAATCCCCCTTTGATTAATTTATTGATACTGTCAAAAGATTAATTGGCACTGTGAAGCTGTTAGAAGGCAACGAAGATTGATCTTAATTAGTAGCTGACAGAGCTGATTACCGCCTGCATTCTCATTCATGGGGTGTTGGAGGGCCCAACCTAAGCTCTCTGTTCTAAACAATACCAGAAAAGAGCATCCAGCACTGCCGAAGTAAAAGGAATTTTATCATTCTATTAAAATAATGATGCTGTTCACTCAGTTCGGGACACTCAGTGTGCTTAAAACCCCGCTGGAATTTATGCTGAAATGTAAAATATAAAAGAACTAGGGCTGGCTGGACAGAATAAGTCTCTTTAAGGGGTAAAATTAATAATAACATGGATCCTATTAGTTCTCTCATAAACAATCAGGTGTTACTAAACTCTCAAGTTATATTGCTCAAACATTTCTATTTTGTTAAAAAGCCTATTCTTGGTCAACCCACGGCACCTAACCAATCTGCTAACAAAAAATAATGTCTGCTGAGTGGCAAACAGCTTCTCTCTTGTAGTTCCTCAAAAAAAACAGACTCAAACTCATTTCCAGCTGCAAAAGACTCCTTGGAGTATGGAAAGAAATTGGAAATCTCTATCCATCATGCCAATCATGAAATCAGGCCAAAAATACTGTTTTAAGGCTATGACATGATACCACCTGATAAGTGTTGATTAGTGGCTACACCTATCTTTATGCAGTGACTAGTCTGAGATGAGCAGTGACTTGGGGCCGTACTTTATCGTCCCTTGAACAATAATCCTGCACCTCCATTACAAGTTGTGAACAGCTGGTTTATTTCAGAAGCACACTCTTGCACACTGATGTGCTTTAAGGTATTATATAGCAGTAATATACCCAAAGGGAGATAATAACTACAGATAAACTTTCGTCCTAGTTTTGCATGATCTTACTTGGGTTGCAGGTGTTTTTTAAGAGGAGCACATCTTAATCATGTGGCTTTTTGTTGTCAGATCTGTAAGTCTGTCGCTTAAGCGCCAAGGTACTTCTAATTAATGTAAACATCAATACTTTGGGTAAAAGGTTTCACTCCATGTTTTTGTTTGCAAGCGGATGACAGGAAAAATATATGGTACCGAATGGGAAAAGGCAGCAAGTGAATGTCTAGTGACAGAAAATGATCTTTACTTTGCTTTCAAGAAAGCAGTATGCAGCACGTTGCAGTTTTGAAGTTGAGCCAGCTTAATTATTTCGATTTATTTTCAAAAGGCTGCAATCTGATATTGAAAGGCAACCTTTTTTTAATGGCAATTGGGCACTTCAATAGACAATCAGCTCCCATAAAAGGTATTTGTTTCATTGTTAGTATTTCAGTATCCAGTACTGGTTCTGGACACTTCACAAAAAAAAAATAGATAACTGAAATAAAGTAACCCATACAACAGAGGTACACTATTAGAATACCAAGGTATCTCTGCAGATTAGTCACAGACAGGTCAGAAGACTGAAAAGTACAGCTAGGGCTATAATTACCAGAAATAGAAGGGGGGAAAAATTCCCTTCATGGCCTTAAAAGTCAAAAGCAATATCCTGAAGTCTATGTGAAGTTGAACAGGAAACCAGTGTATGGTTGTCAAGACAAAATATGCCCACCAGAATGTGACCCAGTACTACCCAGTAGTTTACTACCACTGGAGTTTCTGTAAGGTGACAACCGAGCAAGCAAGGCATTACGGCAGCCAAGTCTGGAGGAAACGCAAGCTACTAGCTCCTCCACCCCAGCGGGTTACTAGTTCCTCTCCAGCAGGCATCAACATAAACACAGCATGTAACCAATCGGTGATGTCAGAAAGACATCAAGATGACACGTGGCTCGAAATAAGCAAAGTAAACAACCCTCATGTATTTCGTTTTAGCACAAAACTAAATATAAACGCCCTCAATAACTCTGGGACGGTTTGATTTTTGTTCGTGATGTACAGAGTCTAATAAAACGATTAAGAGTTATTACAATTCAGCTAATACAAAACGGTACAAACCCACACCCTGAAAAACACCAAAAGTAGAAGAGTGTGAGGCTGTTAAAAGAATTTAGTAAGCACTCAGAAACCGAATCAGTTATTTAGGCAATAATACCCAGCTGAAGCAAAGCGTGTAAATCAAAGCTGAAGTGAGCCGCAGCCGACATCTGCTCATGACCGAGAAATGGGAAAGATTTGAATAATACATGTCCTTCCTCTATGATGTGTGAGTGGAAGAGGAAATCCCTGGCCAAATCCTGGAAATAATCGAACTGGTACCTGTAGTTCTACTGTTAATTAATTTTATACCTGCAGTGCAATGGTATTTCTCCATTACATGTAACGGAAAATGAAGTCCTAGATCATATTCCCGCCGGAGCTATAGTAACTTCTTTTCATCTTTCTATTTACAGATTTTGGCTTTGCGCAATTTCTCTCAGAATACCTCTCCCTGATTTCCATGTCTTAGGACAAACTTTCTTCCCTCCTCTGTCCCTTCTCACTTGCTTTCGCCTTTACTCTCATTACACTGCCTTTATACTTTATACTCCTGAGCCCCCCTCTTTCTCCCCTCACACTTGAAGACGGTTCCACCGCCGAAATATTGTTTTTCCTCTTTCTTCTTTTCAGCATGAAATGAACCTTGTTCCTCTGAAATGAGTTAGACTGAATTCAAAACATGTTTAGATAGTGGGCTTGCACTGTGGTTCCTCCCTCCCTCAAGGCACCTAATACTGACGTCTTGAGGAGGAGAGAAAGAGAACTGCGCATTGAAATAAACCTGCAAATGAATGATTTCCCCAGGATTTTTTTACGAATGACATTGATATCTAATAGGCCTGTAACCTGTGACTGTATTACATTTAACTTTATGTCTAAAGGCAGTGAAAGATTCTTCAAAGCACAATGTTTTATTGGCCTCATTCAAATTCTTCTTCATGCATTCTGCTGGTGTTAGGACACATCAGCGATCGGTAGGTGCTTATGATAAAGCTATATCAGCTAGAGCAGCCCACATTAAGCCTTGAACAAAATGCATTTAAAATTGCTGATTTCTGAAAAGTACAGTAAGAGTCGACTTGGAATAAAGCTTCAATTAATAGAAATTAAGCTTTGGTTAGTTCAGAAAAACATTAACAGAAGAAATAGATTATCTTGACCGCTGCTAATAAAATGTCTGTTTATAAATAATGCAGAAAAACATTCTGTATCTGATGTTCACCCCCTGGCCAAAAAACAGGTACTGTACACTACTCAACAGGGACAAGACTATGTGAAAGTCAAGGGTAAAACCAAAAGCAACGAAAATGCATTTAAAGAAATATCTATTCAGTCATTTTAAAGACAATTTGATATTGTAATATATCCAGAAGAAATATATTAACCCATGTTTTCACCATCTGTTTAAGCGTCAATGCAATTATTAATATATATAATAATGTGCCTTTCAGCAAGTATTACCAGCTAGTCTATCCTTATTGTAACAAACAGGACCATACTTTGTCAGAAAGAGGCCATATAACCTGTCATTGGTAGAGCTACTAGAACTGTTGCCCACAGACCTCACTGAGTGGACAGAAAGGGTGCATTCCTCTGAGATGACACAGATGGGCATATTAGGTTAACTACTCACTAATCCTGAGTTCTGGAGGACTTTACTCTTTACACACTTTATGCCAGCTGTTCATATACTTTTGCCTCCAAGCTGGTTGGGAGGTGGGGGTGGGGTGGGGGCGGCATGTCACAGCTGCTTGTCTGTGGGGATTCATATATTTAGAATCGCAGAACCTAAAAATTCAACTTTAGATGCTCAATGTTGGAAAATAAGAAGCTACACCTTCAGCACTCTTTGAATACCATCTTTGTTTAATGGAAAAAGCAACAAAAAAACATTTAATATCACTGGTTTCTTTTCTCACTTTCAATTAGTTTTATTAAGACAATGGTGTGGGTGCATTAAACACCCAGAAGCCATGTCTGATCTCAGGAGGCTAATATTTTTAATAATATCACTTAGATTTTCTGTTTCTGTCTTTCCTGCCCATTAGCCTTATCTTTGCTCTTCTACTGAAACAGATTTTTCTGCACCCTCCTGAAAAGTAAGGAATCCCAAGACGCAAACTTGATGCAAACTCCAGCTGTCTAGTTTTGCCCTGAGCGAATGGACCTGACAGAACACCAGGCATTGTGCTGCACGCACTTAACTGATTAGCAGTGCCCTCTGGCAAATGCTACAGACTGTTTGCTTTGCTGGCAGTGGTGACTTTCAGGAAGGATGCCAACGTGGTCCTGCTCACTGCTCAGTCCTTGCAAAGCTGAAAGGAGCTGCAGATGGACGTGGGCCACAGTATGAACCCAAAGAGCTGGCACCACGATCGGCTACTTCAACGTTTTCATCTCACTACCTCTTCATTAGGCATTCACTCTACCCTGGAGCACGTGGGTGAGGTCGGATTCTGAGCTGCACTGTGCATTGTAGGGCCAGAGTAACTAGAGCTGGATCTCATTCCATTTCACCACAACAGGCATGTGAGCAACAACATCCACGCTGCCACCTGGACTCTTTGCAAATATTAGTAATTGCAAGCTTATTCTAACATGTTTCATCTGTTTTCCCAACACCATCCTACTGCATAAAAATTGTAAGATTTTGACATCACTTGTTTAACTTTTCTTTATTACCTTTTAGAGGTTGCAGGAATACTACCCTTGCAGTCAGCTGTGTAGAAGTAAATCAATAAGGGAAGCTGCACGCAGGTGGGATTCAAAAAACAATCAAACATACTTCTCCACCTCGTCAATAATAACGGTTCTTAACTCTGTTGGCATTTATGTCCCACAAATTTGATTTTATATAGCTTGTGCTTATAATTGTTTGTAGAGAACATTTTGCGATTGTTATGTGTGTGCATGCAAATCATAGAGGGTCCACTTAGTAAGACAAATATTATTTTCATTTTAAATCCTAGCTGACGTTTGGTCCGCATAATGTAAACACAAAGTAAAAGGATTAAAGTAGGCAAATCCCATTGAGGAGACCAGAGGGGATTTTTTGGACAGCAGTAGAATCAAAAATAAATTATCGGAAGGTTAATTTAGGATTTGGTGACTGAAACCAGCAGCAGATTGCCTTGGCATGTTGGAATAAATTGAAACAACTTCACTATTGGGGTAAAATGTTTTTCCCTAAGGCTGTCAAAACAAATTGCTGGAACAGCCAGGCAGAGATGAATGCAATGTAACAGACACATCAGAAGTAAGAATCACAACATTTTGTAATATTATTTCAGGTGAAGGAAAGGAAGCACTCAGTGGAAAAGCACATTTGCAGAAAAAAGCTATTAACGGTATAAAGTACTGTATGTGCTCAGGGCATTGACATCTAAAATGTAAAAGAAGAGTAGCTTCTTTTTAGCACCTGTTCATAGCAATATTCTAAGAGTTGTTTTTATTATTGAACTTGCATATCTAAAGCATGCTTTAGGTGCAATATTAATACGCAGTGCAAAAAGTGTTCACTCCTTTAGATAACAGAATCTGAAACACTTGCCATCACAATTAATTCTATAATTATAACATGCTATTACTTCTCCTGTTCACATATCATTGTCTGTCTTACACAGATAAAACAATAAAAACTGTATACCTTTGATTCCACCACTCAACAGTTTATAGATATAAAGAAAACAATGCATATACTTTAATCTTAAAACACCATTATCCCTATTCCCTATACTAGCTTGAGCACAGATTGAGTTCTACAGTCAGGGGTTCAAACCTGGGTCGTGTCACAAGCTCTGAACACATTCTCTCAAGTGGAATTGTCAGAGCCTCCGAGTGTCAGACAGGATTCATCAGCCATGGTGCCCCTGGATCTCAGAGACCCTCATGACCAGCTGTATGCTTGAAGGCATGCAGTGCCACTGGCGAGAGATGCAAAAAACCTCCAGCACGGATCTGATGTGTTAGAAAGAGGAGGGGCTGGAAGGTGAATAGGTGGGAGAGGTCGTGCTGCACTTTCCTCACTCTCCCGTGTGCAGTTACGGGGTTCACGGCACCAGGCTGAGATGTAAAATCACATTATTGGCTATTCCACAAAAAGTATTTGGCAAATATAAATAAAAAAAAATATGTCTAATAGAATTATTTTATTTTAAAATTGTAGCTTAGTCAGTATATTGCCTACCTAATTAGTCATTAATAACTCACGAAATCCAAGAACCTACTGTTCTTTTGAACAATATTGCTGACATACTGTTAAGGCTTTATGACTGAGACTATAAAAGTCAAGCTAACCTTCCCTCCTGGAAGCATCCTGTAACTCTCTAAGGTGCTTGTTTATAATAGATACTGTATACTCCTGGCCATCAAATGATACTTCAAAATAACTGCTACTTTGAACACCAAAGTGAAGTGAAGTGAACTGAAACCGTTTCAGTTAAATGGCTACACAGAACAGTAGAATCTCATCCCTTCAATCCAACGGCTTCTTTTCTTTCTTCCTTTCCCCTTCACAATTGTAGGTTTCTTTCCTCTCGTTTCTCCTCGAGTCTTGCTCATCTTCTATCATTCCATTAATCTTTGTGCTTTCGCCTTAATTTCTAGGTTTAACTTTTTCTGAGTGGCATCACCATACACTTTTCCTCTGTATGTACAGTAATCTCTAGCCACCCTGAATGAGTCCAGCCCAGTGGTGTAATCTCATGCATGAACAGCTTTTACCTTTGACTGTGACTTTTACCTTTTTCCCCTGTACAAATATATGATTGTTACGCACATCAATGCACACCTATTACCTGTCATCTTCAGGGAGAAAGCAATTTTATATAACCTACAAAAGGTAGACCTAGGTAATCCTAACAGCCATTATAACACATAAAATAAAAAAAATAAAAATTAGCATGAACAAAAAGTGACAAATAATCTTTTGTTACCATATTATTCCAAGACTTTATAGCAAACTTAAATTAATAACATAAATAATCTCTAAAACATTACCCCAGAACTATAGGGATTTTATTTTTTTTAAGGCAAGAAAGGAGTTTTTCTTTAATTTTAGGCTCAGAAGATAGATTCATTAGAGAACTGGAAAAATAAAAAAAATTGTCAACTGTACCTTGTTTCTGAAAAGTAGAGCCAGTATCCCACCGAGAAGCTCTAGGATCAGGCAGATCGTCAGAGCATACTGAAACTACAAAAAGAAATAATTGAATTGTAAATTTAGTTTTACAATTGCTCACATCCTAAAGAAAGGACCCAGGCCTTTTACATTTTTTAAAATATGTAACATGAAAATGACAAATGTCATACCCTAGGACTGAACATTATTGGAGATCCAGCTCTTTACACATACATGTAACAGAAAAACATTTATCTTCTGAAAGCATAAAACAAAACAGATCAGGAGGAGAGGTTTGAGCAATATGAACTCCTTGCTACCCGAATAATGTTCAAAATGTTCCACATGCATGTACTGTATTTCAGATTTCAGTCAAATAATGAATGATAGCTGTACACGCAAGTAAACTTTCAGCGAGTCTAGCCAGAGGTTAATGGGTTTTCTAGTTCTTGTTGTGAGTGTGTTGGAGGGGGATCACAAAAGATTAGGCAACAGGTGTTCTGAAAAACTGTGAGAGTGAATAGTGGATGAAGCCAGATGTCCACAGTGGCACTGCTGCCCCTTTCTGAAAAAAAAAAGAAGCTTTTCACTACTAAACCTACACAGCTCACTGAATGGAAAATTACAAAATTTTTCTACTTTTTATGCCTTTGTCAAGTGTTGCCAAACAGCCTTTGTATGGGCCTAATTGATGTGAGGGGTCTGCAAAAATAATTTTAAAAACAAACAAGATAAGCAATGAGTCTCAGAGAGCAGAGGATGGATTTACTCCCCCCTCCATCTATAACGAGTGACCCTTAATCAATTATTCCGGCTAAAATGTTTTATGCAGCAACTCTATCACACACACCTGTTAGGTTCCACTGTTTTGCATGAATCCATGGGGATTAAAACAAATGAACATGAACAAAGGAATGTGACTACATTATTAAGCAAGATTAAGTAGCCAACAGTGATTCTGTATCATTTTTGGCACAGATACAAGAGGGTGGACAAGCACATTCCAAATGTCCTTTAGTCTTTTAGATAGAATCAATTGGAAAATTTCACATGAATCCTCTATTCGGAAAGGAATTTGCGTGTTTATCATCAAACCAACTGAGCACAACAAACCCCTTTTAAACGGCACCTGTTGCTTTTGGGTCTGCTTTCAAATTGCCAAAATTCTGGCGAGCGAACGTATATCACTGGCTGCCTCCGCATACTTTCTATCAGTCACATCCAGGCCATACATCAAAATGCCACTGCCAGGAGGCGATTCCATTTTATTGTCAAAATAAACAACAAAAGTGCAAAAAATAAAGTCCCAGGCCATTTGTCATGCTCTCCTCTCTACGCAGAAGGCCTATATGATCGTGCTCTTGTCAGGAGAGCGCACACAGCGGGAATCTTAATTTCCCACTCGAGACTCGAGAGCCACAGGAAGGACAGTGCACTCGACAGCCTCCCCTGGGCTGTCCCACCGGGCACTGGAGACCCATCCTACTGGATCTTCGGCCTGCTCGGAGAAATATCCAATAACCTCCTCTCCAACAAATACAGAAATAACGCAATGCAAAAAAAAATATATATATATACTTTCCAATGGAAATTCGGTTTCTATATTTGAGAACAGCGAGTTCTCTTTTAAAGCCAACAGGTTTCAACATCCCACTCTTCCCACAACACCTCATTTGTATTTTTCACATGTTGGTTAATGCCTGACAACAAGCCAATAATTCATCATCAGTATAAATCTGAGAAAATTTAGTGCAATAAAAATAGACACAGAAACAATGTTTAAATGCTTCACAAAGTTCATACAAAAAGTAAGATAATTCTTCTTGAAAGTTTTATGTTAAAATGAATAGATAACACAACAGAACTCAGTGTATCTTGTATACTTTTGAAGTTGGATTTATTAGTAAATTTTTGCTTGAAACCATCTTTACTTGTTTTGTTGTTAAGCTGGCAGACGGAGGATATTTTAAAAACATTTTGTCTTTGACATGTCTACGATACACTTGTGTTCATCTTTCCTCCTTCAGGAATCAAGAAAAGCACATTTGAGAAAGAAAACACGATTCCAGGTTTTACTACAAATTACAGTACCTTCCCCAACAAAAATCTTGACTAGCTGAAATACGGAGAATGTGGAGCAGCACCGACTTCAAGAACAATGTTTATTTTTCTGATATCATTTGTTTCTGATTTGAACACCACAGAAAGAGCCTGAGCCTTGTGGAATAACACTGAGCAGCACACATATTAAACAAATAACTAAAACAATGGAAAATACTGCTTTAGAGGATGTACTGTATGGGCACAAAGCTGTTTAGAGAGCTTAAACTAACATAGGCTGTTGGACAATCAAATCATTTTTCTGTACATATGAGAACAATGTTATATGATAGATGTGTGTTGCACTGCTTTAATCACGATTTTTTTAATTGAACCTGAAAAAAACAAAGGATTTCTGAAGCACTTCATTTCGAATCTGTTTTTAGCTGCAAGGATCTCTATTTTTATTTTTGCTGGATTGGGCAACAGATGTGAAACTCAGAAATGTAAAAAGAAAAGAGTGCCTTTTAAACTCCCTCTACACGTGCAAACATGCAGACACACATGACCTTGGGAGGCCTTACCCTAACAATAATCAAGACAAAACTACTGGAAAGAAAAACAAACCAGGGGGAGATACTTCGGCAGGCTGTTTCAGGAAGAAGCCTGAAAACAGACTGTTCGCCTGTTTTTAGTCTAATTAAATTATGCAAAATACACATCCAGTCTCGGATTGAGAATTCACACCATGGAGAACAGCTGTTGCCATTTCTCCTGCACCTGTCTGAGTCCTACTGCAAAGACACTGCCCAAGTTTAAAAGATTTGGCTATTCATGACTCATAGCGGGAAAATAAACAAATAATAAAAATCATAAAGAAATAGTCCACCCATCTCCTGACTACTAGTTAAAGAATAAAATAAGACATTTGCTTCTTTGTAGTGTTAAGTCTTTCTGCAGATGGCATGACTGAGAACTACAAGTTATGGAGGTAAACACGAAACCCCACAAAATCATGCAATTCTTTCAACTGTTTGTTAGTGATAATTATTCATTTTTTAAGCATTCTCCAGATGGCGTGTTACCTCTCTAAGGCTGCCTGAATATTTAAGCCTAGACACTGTTTATCATTATCCCCCAAGCCAATATTTATTGGAACCCTGCATCTTTTCCCTAATTAATCCTTTTTCAAGGAATGTGTATTTTCATCGTTAATATTCTTTTTCTTCAAAAAAGGATTGCTTGAGTATTAAAAAGGTTAATGTGAAAGATTGTTTTACAATATGATTCACTAATTCAAATACAGACTCTGGAATGTTTTAACAGAGTCAAATGAGCATCCCTATCAAAAGTAAAACATTTTTTAACATAGTGTGCAAGCTATAAAATAAACTTTTAAATTATTATGTAATTGTTGGTGCTTTATGCTCTACATCTGAAATGCAATGTATTTAGCCATTCAATTAACTCCTTGAAAAGGTTTAAAAATCACCACCAACTCCCTGTTCCAGCACAAAGAAGTCAATGAAACATCTGTTACAAAGCACAGACACATGAATTCAGCCTGTGTTTGACCCAAAGTACTACATCTAAATGGATTCTAAATGATTGTAAAAATGCCAGATGTACAACTTTCCAAGACAAATAAATGCAGTACTGTTCAGTGCAACTGTTAGCACAACTATTACAACATGAACTGGTGACTAACATCACATCCAAACTGTTTCTCAGTAACTAGAGGCAATAAAAGAGGGCATTTACAGGGAAAAAACAGTAAAAATCTGATCCAAGAAAGATACAGATACATGAAGGTAGAGTGCTAGCATAATACATTTTCTACCTACTGTATTTCATTGTGTTCAAAGAAGTGCGTTTTTTTGTAAACACATAATTAATCTTGTCTGTTATTTGCTTATAATTGTATACTTTGCTACAAGTTCACCTACACAAGCCTTGCAGAAAAAATGTTCAGCTTTCTGAACGCTTAGGGGCAAGCAATAATCAGCTGATTAGGGAGGTACTTAGCAAGTTAATGAAGCTGTCAGAGTTATCTGCACATTAAGATAATAAAATAATTGCAACTTTTAAGGGAAAAATAGAGCAATACATAAAACTCATCAAGCATAAGAATGTTAAAGGTAAATCTCTAGCTTTCTATCCTTCAGTATCAGCACTACATAAATTTGTTCTACACATTCTACAATACTGGCAAGTCAAGCAATGCAGAATGATCCCCTTTTCTGAGACCAGCTGAATACAAGTGGGTGCATTTTAAAAATACTAGAGTATTTGTAAAAAAACGCCCAACAAACAGATTAGTTACAGAAATTCTCTTTCTATATTTCTCAGATATTCCCATTAAATATTAAGGATAAAATATGATATAAGTACTTCTGAATTCATTTGTTTTTTCAATATTGTTTAATGTAAAAAAAACATGTTTTAAACAGGTTTTGATGAAGTGTTTAGGTGTTCAACTCTATGCTGACACGTGGTCTGCATACACTCTCATTAGAACTTGCAGTTATGTTGGATTTAATGTTACTTTTAATTTAAAGCAAATGTATTGATTATCATTTAGAAAACTTGCACTGGTTATTTTAGATAATAGCATACTTACAGTAATTAACATTGGTGATGAAAAAAGAATATGAAGCAGGTTTTCAGAAGACAATGAAATACCAGTTCATGCAGAACTAGGGGATCTAGAACCTAAATTAAAGAAAATCTGCAATTTAAAAAAAGTGGCTGCAGCATTTTCTTAGAAAGAATCCCCCAAATTCAAATTAAATTAAGTGTTTGTGCCCCCAATATATGGTATAATACAGGGTAATAAATACATTTTAAGAAAAGGATAACATTTTAGTTTTGATTGTTTGATCATGTTAAATACAGTAATTATTTCTAAGAAACAGACCCCACAGACATTAAACGAATGGGAATGGGAATTTGTTTTTTCATTGGCTTAAGCTGTTATTCATCTGTAAGCAGGTCTCTGCACTATATGATGAATAGAACTATAAAATAAATGCATAACACTCTCAAAACCAGAAATGACTAAAGTAGTACACAAAAGCATATATTTGTGAGATAAAGTAGGACAAGTTTTGATAAAACAAACGATTTAGTGATTTAAATGATTTTTATTGATATCAGTATACATTTAATGCTTTATGCATTAGATGTGCAGAGTTAGAACTGTTTCATTCACAAGATGAAACCAATTTTAAAAAAGTCATGAAGGATGAACAGCTGCTAGGTTATTTAAATAAAAGTTTTCCTATTAAAACAGAATTTATGTTTTTAAAAATATGCTTTTGAGTCTTACTCTCTGGAATAAATGAAGCCACAATTTTATATGTACACTGTAATTGATATAATCCCAAATTGATTAAAAGTCTTTTTCTTATAAGTGGCATTAAACAGAGTAAAAAAAAAAGAAATTACTTGTGTAAATTCCATATTTAATGGAGAAATTCTACGTCTTTGTTGCAGGTAGTTTTAAAGAGGCGGTGTTAAATTTTCAATCTACTGTATATAGAATTGTGTTAATACATTGCTCAAAATATTGACTACATCTACTCTACCTAACCTTGAACAAACCTTTAATGCAGTCAGCTAGTGGCATACTAAATACTTTCTCATTAACAGAGTGGGTATAATTTTTCATTACAAATAAATGCATTCAAAACTAGCACTTCCCTTGAGAATCCATGAATCCAAGATTCATTCAAGGCTTGATTGGAAAAATGAATTTTCTAAATGCTTGGTGATATTGTTTAATTTTACAGTTTGCCCAGGAGATCCTTTTCTTTTAATAGACTGCTTCTGCATCACATGTTGAATCTAAAGAACCACATACATTTAGAAAAAAAATACTTTTACTTTTGAATTAACTATTATATGTACAGTAGTGGGTGGCACAGTGGTGCAGTGGTTAGCACTGTTGTCTTGCAGTACTGGGGCTCTGGTTTCAATTCTAGACCTGGGGTGATAGCTGCTGGCGTGAAAGTCTGTATGTTCGCCATGTGTTTGTGTGGGTTTCTTCCGGGTGCTCCAGTGTCCTCGCACAGTCCAAAAACATACTGGTACTCTAGGTTAGCTGGCTTCTGGAAACACTGGTCCTGGTGAGTGTGTGCATGACTGTGTCTGCCCTGCGATGGACTGGTGTCCCATCCAGGGTGTACCCTGCCTTGTTGTCTGTTGTTGTCAACCCTGAACTGGAAGAAGAGATTAGAGAAATGGATGGATGCATGTACGTACAGTAGAGTCTTCTCTACTTCTTCTCAACACGTCCTCCTGAGTAGCCAAATTCACATATAACCAAATCCACCCCTACTGCATAATGTACTGTGGTATATAGTATGTATGGTTAAAAGAAGGAACTTTCTCTTATATGATAATTAAAGTATTAATGCATTGGCTTTAAGTTAATTTAATTAACATTGAACAGCTAAAACAAACAACAGTAATAGAAAACCAACAGTAAGATAAACCACACGAATCACTCTTCTGCATCATATGTCATTCTCCGCGCTGCCAACACAGAATGGTAAGCGTTTGTTACAATATATAAGCAAGACCACGCTGAGATGCAGATACAGGGTACCGGGTACTTGGGCAGGGAGCAGTGAGCGGCTCACACACTAGAGAGATTTGACTCATGATGCTAGTCCATGGTGCAGTTAATCTGAAAGTTGCACTTTCAGTTTCATTCTGCCCTGCTCCTCTTCCATCCAAGACATCGTCAGCCAGAGCGATTCGCAACGAAGCTAATTCCCGAATGTTAAATTTGTAGATTTCGAGAGCCTACGGTATATTTGTATAAAATATTTTACTAAAATTAAAAACACTGTAATTAGATTAATTTTTTTTTTTTTTAGTTTTAAGACAGGAGTTAGGCTTAAAATGTTTAAAAGCAATAGCTGAGGGTAATGATTTAGTGGTGGGAGGGTCTTTATAGATTCCAAGAAGAGATCTAAAAAAGCTAAAAGCTTCTTTATACTACTGTATTTATGTGATGGTATGTACATATATTTTACACATCTATAGTTAATTAGAAAGTAGCTAAGGTCTGCTTTTTTATTAATATTGCATAGCATGTTTCTGTATCTATAATTAATCAAACTTCTTACATATAGCGAATGGAAATGTATTCATGTGTTAGGTGCTACTTCTCAGCATAACTATAACAAAAACTGTAATTACCCCAGTACTATTGTAACTGACCAGAGTATTACTGTAATATTAACACACAGAGTGGGTTAATTTAATAGAATATACATAGAGCTGCCATTCAATTATAACTGGCCCCTGTTTTGTTTTTGTTACTTTATTTGACAATGCATTCATAATGACATGGTAAGACACACACAGGAAATATTTGCCATAAAATGATGGATGACTTGACACTGTAAGATTACTACCCTTAAAGGAAATCTGATTTCTAAAACAAACAATGTATTTGAAAATGTCACTAAACCATTAGATTTGACAAATTATTGTTATTAGTTGATTTGGTTAAATTTAAGGCTCAGGTGACTTCCCCTTGCATTAGCTGAAACTTCAAAAGTTGTCCTTTGTGGATCAGGATTAGGTGACTGTCACTAAACTCTGTCTTCTGGACTCACCCAAGCCGTGCATTTCAAAAGAATAATGTATGTTCCCACACCTTGAACCTCTAAAGATTAAGATGACCAAAAAACAGTTTAGTCTTTACTGAGCTTGGGCTTTGAGGTCACACCACAAGGCGCGGCTTGGTAAAACTAAACTCTTCTTTTTACACCAAGACCAAAAAAAGGCACTGAAATGAAATGAAAACACTGCCTTCTAAGTCAATTCAATTCCATAATAGCATTAGAAAGGATTAAGGTGCTGTGCTGCACAATAACTGTGTTGTACAGTAGTCCAACAATCATGATCTGTATCTGTTACTAAAGGGGTCAAAAGCAATCATTTCAATCATCGTTTTTAGTCCATTTATGGTTCCCCTTCTATTTGTCAGCTTCTCTTTCATGTGGTTCCAACAGGTACAACACCTAGTACACAAACACTTCTCAGATGGCTCCGAGGCACTTCCTGTTTTTCTTTTTTCCTGAATCAATAAGAGGAAGGGACAGATGGAAGGTAAGAGTGGAAAATGTCTCTTGGTACCTACCACCCTCAAAAGGCTCAGGTTGTCACGCAGGGACGCTAGTGCCCCAATAAAGGAGACGATGAACATGATCACTCCCAGCACGATGAGGATGATGGCCGGCGCTAGGAAGGTGCCCTCCAGGGTTTTGTATCTCTGCCTCTCCACTTCTGCATAGATACCAATGAACAGGATGAAGCCCCCTATCAGCTGCAGGAACACAACATCAAAAGGCAGTGTTACAGACATGAGCTCAGGTGAGCAACAGGAAATCAAAAACAGACGTCCAGGGGTTTGTGGTATTTTAGATTTTTGAGTGGCATCCTGTCAGTCCTCCCTTTCGCTACTCAACAGCCTACAGTCATTTTACCTACATCCGCCACACAGACACAACCCCACACTGTAGATGGGCACTCCACCAAACAATTTGTTTCAGGCTCCAATCCTGGCAGTGGCTTGTGAGCTGGGGAGGAGGCCTCATCGATGAGCTGATAATGCCTAGACCTTTGGGCAGACTGCAATAGCAGGGCTTTGGCCAGCGCCGTTTCACATGCCAGCTTGAATTAATGTGTGTCCCGTTAAAGAGGATGGAAACGGAACCCGCACGGCTGATGATATGGAACAAAAAAATATCTATCAAGATGATGAAAGTTTGGGTATGAAATGAGATTTTACTTTAACCAGTGTTTTATTTTTACACTTGTTTGCGGCCAAATAAACCAGTTTTGTTAGTCTGCTGGTTGGAAATGCACTGCTGATGTACAGTACAGTACCTGCACCAGTACAGTACAGGTTTCCTGTGATTAACAACCTTTGAGATAAAAAGTATTTAGCCTACAATCAACTAGCAGAACCATGCTTGAAGTATACAAATTAAATACTTCAGTTATGTTACACAGCAGTTAATATGAATCAATATCAATATGAATAATATTAATATTATTGTTATAATATTGAATGTTGATATTAATAATATAATAAATGTACCATTAGTAGTAATGGTATTATTATTATGCTAATAATATATAACTGATATTAATAAGTCATTGATAGGAATGTTAATAGTGTAACGGTCATTCAAATATTAATAATTCATCAATATGAATATGAATTTTGTCATTTTGCATTGGTGCTCGTTTTTATTCCACTCTTCTTCCCATTCTTCTACATGCTTTTAACATTTATAATACTCAAAAGAACTTATTCATTTGCATTTCAGCAAAGGCCTCCCCATTACCATTACCTGAACATTTGCGTGAATGGATTTCTTGTAACCTTTCCATGGTATTGTCCCATGAAATGCTATGACATTTAAAACGAATAGCTCAAGGAAAGGAAAGGCTCAGGCCAAGTGACTCCACAGATTTGTTCTGGTTTTCTCACTCCAGGAGAAATGGCATTCACTACATTGTACGCTCCATGCAGATCACTGAAGAAGAAAATAGATGGGGAAGGAATATACACAAATTATGTGCTATACTGGTCATCCACAATAGTATATGCTTGTGCACTGCTTTGAAGTTCTGCAATATTTTCTATTTCAGTGGAAAAAACAGAACTTCAAAGATTGTGCTTGTTGGTTTTATTTATTGTAGCACAAGAATTTGCTTCACTTAAACGTTTTGCAAAGAGCATTCAAGACTGTTCTCAGAAGGATGCAATACTTTAAATATGAACAGAAACTGTGACACGGGAAATGTTAGCAGATGCTGCTTTTGTCATTCTTAAATACTGAATCCTTGTGAGGAACCATATGTCTGGGGCAACATAACTAGGAAATGTCATTTTACAGTGTGTAACAAGCAAACACCTTAAGAATGTGATGCAAGATGAAGTAAAAATAAGTACTGTGAATAGAGACTGTGTTTAAAGATAGAACACTACTGGAATAGGACCTACTGTATATTGTACATGGTGGCTGAAAATCAGGAAAGGTTTCCTTAACTCCTGTTAGACTAACCTATCTGCTTCTACAAGGTTTCATCAAATGCAATGACTGGTTCAAAAACAGGGAAGTAATTTGGCTACAAAACACAGAGGCAAAAGACTACTCTTATGAAATAATTCTCATTTTGTGTTAAAACCCTGCAACTCCTTTGGTGACAACAACAAGGTAAGCCTTGCACACTTAATGATACCATCCAGCTTCACAATGAAATTGTCAGACATAGATCTAAATGCAACACTTGTGTTCTAGATAAGTTTGTAGTTTTCGTTTTCAGTTACACATACTGTACATTCAGAAGAAACTTCTAAATTCTTAAACTGAAACAATTTTGAAAGCATTTACAGAAGCTCTTGCGGTCTTATTCTTCTTGTACTCCTTTCCAAGCCACTTCAGCCACTGGGTCCTAATGCCCCAGTATAGTGACAGGGACGCTATACTGTAAACAGGCGCCGTCCTTCGGATGAGACGTAAAACCAAGGTTCTGACTCTCTGTGGTCATTAAAAATCCCAGGGCGTTTCTTGAAAAGAGAAGGGGTGTAACCCGGTGTCCTGGCCAAATTTCCCATTGGCCCTTACCAGTCATGGCCTCCTAATAATCCCCCTCTATGAATTGGCTTCATTACTCTGCTCTCCTCCCCACTTGTAGCTGATGTGTGGTGGGCGTTCTGGCGCACTATGGCTGCCGTCGCATCATCCAGGTGGGGCTGCACATTGGTGGTGGTGGAGGGGAGTCCCCATTACCTGTAAAGCACTTTGAGTGGAGTGTCCAGAAAAGTGCTATATAGGCGCAAGCAAGATTATTATTTTATTATTAATAATCTATGATGTCTATTGTCTTGTCTGTGTATGGTATATGTAGAATGTTTTTGCAGCGCCAGGTACACCAGAATTAATCCCTAGTACATGAAATGTACTTGGTGAATAAAGGCGATTGTGATTATTACCATGGACCAAAACATATGTTTGAAATCACAGTGTTTTGGTTTCCTTTTGAAAAATTTCAGTTCAGTGCAAAACTTTGCATTGAAAGTACCATAAACTGTAGGTGGTTGTTTCGAGTCTTCTAAAACTTCACTCATCGCAACTGAAAGCATCGTTTAGAGGTTTGTTTGCCATAAAAAATTTGTACAGACCACCTTTATTCTAATTCCTAAATACATGCAGATCTATCTCCATTTATATAGTTTAAATAATAATTTAGAAAGACCACACAACTCTTAAAAAAAGTGAATACATTTTAAATGGATATTTCCCAGCTCAAAATGAAATTAATCAAACCTAAAAAATATTTAAAAATGCAAACTCGTGTTATATGTTGTAGTTCAGTATTAACAATGATACTTAAACTGCCTTTCAGCGGCTGTACAGTATGTTCTTATACAGCAATGCTACAACTACTAACATTCATTGATTTAAAAAAAGGACTGATGATTGGCAGATATTAAAGGGCTTTATTTTCTTAACAAAAACCAATCCCCAACCCATTTAACAAATTATTTCAAGAACGTAAAAGGCATACTCAAGGGAGAAATAAAACAATCAGCTTAAATAAAACATACATTTTATTGAAGCTAGGGAGGATGTTTTCTATTTTCACATAAATTATTTTTTCATAGTTGGAAAATAAAATACACCATTTTATTGTTTCTTTACAGATCCGTGCCATTGTCAAAGAGGAAAAAATGCCTTCAAACTCTGAAAACAGGGCTTACATCGAAAGCAATGTTGCCCCCAGTTATCTTAATATTGTTCAGTGACGCTCTTTTTACCTTGTCATTAAAATTCTCTGGTTATGTTTTATAATATGCATTAAAACTGCAAAATCTTTCCCCTTTTCTCACACTGCAAGGAAAAATCTAACTCTTCTGATTAAAACCCATTCCATTACCTTGTACAAGAAGACACATGCCTCTGCACCATTTACTACTATTCATCCAAATGACTCAAATTGCTTTGAATGCATTAGAGGGATTAAAAGCTCCAAAGCCCATTCTGAGGAGCAGGCTGAAACATTTCTATCCTGTCAGTACGTTAGCACTCCTTTTAGGAGACGGCAGCAGTCAATCATCAAGATGGAAATGGGTTCTACAACAAGGTGCACCTGTCTCGGGCACTGTCAGGCATTTTGTTTATCTGAGTTAGTGCCTTAGTGTTTGCAGGAGCTCTCCAAGAGAGACTGACAACAGGCAGCTCAGAGGCCAAGAGTGAGGCGGAAGACCAGGGCAAGACATGAACTCCAGGTGACCGTAACATCTCCCCCATCCCAGGGGGCTGGGTGTCAGACCCCAGTGATTCTTTACCAGGGACACAGCCACAGAGCGTCCCACGCCATTCAGCATGTCAGCTGAATTCAATAGCTCTCAGGTAAGCCAACAAACTATTGGGTAACACAGGCTCAACAAAGTGACTTCTGTAACGGAACCAGTAAAGGTTTATATCATGCTGAAAAAAGAAGAAAGGAAACACGTTTCGGCTGTGTAGCCTTCTATGGGTGTGGACCTGACGAAGCTGAAACGATGTGTTTCCTTTCTTCTCTTTTCAGCATGGAATAAACCTTTACTAATAAACTACTTAAATTACTGAGATTTGTAACTTCTTATATTACAAATGCAGGAATGGAAAGTGCAGTTTTGTGATAATATGAGTGTATTTAATAAACTGAGCACAACCCTGTTCAACCTCATGTTTTACCATAAAAGTCGCATTTAAGACAAGCACAAAACACATTTAAACACAGAAAATGCAAATTCGGATACCCAGTGGTCTGAGAATGACACACACTTGTTCAGTCAGTTAAAGATGGGTGATCTGTCCTCTTTTTTAACATCAAGTTCAGTCCAAATCCTACACAAACACAAGGTTGAACTCTACATTTACATAAAAAAAGTGTATTTAAATTTCCCACCTGGCTGTAAAAGACAATTTCATTTTGTATGAATTTCAATTTCATTATGTTAAATGGCATTTCAGTCACCATTTCTGTTAAACCCGTGTTCTACTGTATTGTTCACGATATTTTATTTTGCAAATCTTACATTATCTCATTTTAAAACCCAGAATTTTCAATCTAGTAATTATTCCCTTACAAATAGCTATGTGAATGAGGGTCTAATGGTACACAACGTTGCATCTGTTAAGTGGGTTCGGCAGGTTATTCCTTAAATAATACTGCTACTTTGACTGGAGGAATTTTAAGAACAGAACTATAGTAACTGTAAAACAAACATGGTAATGCTAATGCTAACTCAGAGCATTTCCAGCG